CAGCACAATGGACTACTTGCTCGCTCGGTGCCGCCAATTAGTGGGAAAAGGAGAGCAACATTGAGGTGGGCCGCCCGAGGCAAGCAGCAACAACAAGGCAGCCGCGGGGTCGGCCGGGTAGAGAAGACGCACTCACAGTCGCACTCCCCGAGTATATCTCTTATACCTTTGCCATCAAGGTGCCCACTTCCAACTTCCCGTTAAATGGTGACGCGTAAAACGAATGAAAACGCGCGGCACTTCTGATCGCAACGGTAAGTAAAGTGCGCCCATAATTTATCGCGCTAGATTCGAGGTTGTCCACGCCCTCTCGTCCGCTTTTGGTAGACTCTATACCGACTCCTGCCTGAAGGCGCCTGGCGACGGACGAGTGGGCATCCCGCTCGCGCGCCTGTATTGCGGTACAGTCTGTGCCTGCGCGGCATATTCGCCAGCAAGCCACCAAACACCAGGTATTTTGGATTTTATTTTTTATTTTTTCGTTAGCCTGTTGCTTTGCTTCCGGTGTGTGACGGCGGCCCCGTTGGTCGCGGTGCATCCCCGGGCCCGGCCCGGCGGCGCGCAGAAGGCCTGCACCGTTATGGAGTCGCCCGTTTGGCGTCGCCCCTCCGCGTCATGCGATGCGGCGCTTCAGAAGAAGAAAAAAATCCCGGTGTACGCAATTCCGATGTGCGCCTAAGGCCGCAATGAGTTTTGTGGCGGTCCCCGGTCGCTCTCGTGGGTCGAGAGGGTTCATACCCCTTACTTATAACACGTGGTCAACATTTCTTTTGCCTCCCAAACGCGCATTGCTTTTATCGTGAATGTCCAGTCCCGTGTTCAGTTTGATCCCGGTGGCCTTGGCTGCCTGCACCGACGCAGGCGGGGCTTGAGACGTCACTGTTCGACAAACCGGCAGGCCTCTGCATCCTCGCGGACCTGACCCCTGACCTGGTCGCCCGTTTGTCGGCGTCGTCGGGGTGATTCGGTCGCCGAGGCGCGGATTCGCATTTCGCGTGACGCCAGTCGCGGCCCGGCCATGACGCGAGCCTGTGTCCTCCTACTACAACTCGGCGTGATCGCGGCCGTCGCAGGCGTCGTCCCGGACGCCTGCCCGGACGCGCCCACGCCCGGGTTGGCCCTGGGCGCGCCCTGTCACCACAAGGAGCTCAACGTGACGGGCGAGTGCCGCGGGGCGTGGAGCTGCCCCCAGGTGCGCAGGCAGAAGGCCGCCGACCGCCGGTACTGCGCGCAGCTCTGCGCGCCCCGGGCGGTGTGCTGCCCGCCGCCCCCGCCGCCGCCCCCGGCCTGGCTGGACGCGTTCCGCCGGCCGCCCCCGTGCGCCGAGCCCCTCGCGCGAGCGTCGCCAGAGACGGACAACATCCTCGCCTGGACCGACGAGCTGAGGGACCAGCAGTGCGAGATGCCACCCGCATACGACACGGAGCAGTGGATACCCACCCCCGACGTCCCAGCGAACGCGTCCGTCGTCGAGAGGAGTGAGTTGAGTATTCATCCTGGAGGACTGGCCGAGGGAATGGCTTTCTGCTGACACTGACCACCCTCACTTTCAACCCCTTACAGAGTGTCTGGCGTTCCAGTTGTTGGAGTTCATGCTAGATGAGGTCCTTGCAGTAGCCACCCTTCCTGGGCAGCCCTATTTCTGCAAGCGCTGGTGTTTCAGTGATAGGGCGGTGGCGTTCGTCAGCGGAGGCCAGGACGCCGTCGAGCTCGAGTTCCCGCACATGGTGAGTAGGGCTTTGTGTAGGTAGGCGTACTGCTTTGTTGTCTCTCTGGACAGCCCTGGTTGCTACGGCCTTCTATTGGACTTTCATGTATAGAATGACGCACTCATTTGGGCCGATCGTACGAACGACCGTTCATTCCGTTAGACACAGGCCGTTTCTAGTTAGTCCCGGTCTCTTGTTTGCACCCTTGTTCCTGTTTGAGCGCAGGCCCTCTTCCTGGACGACAGAGACGAGGCGTACTGCTCGGGGACCCTGATCTCGGAGTCCTTCGTGCTGACGGCCGCGCACTGCGCCGTGCCCTCCCGGGTGGTGCTGGGCCTGCTGCGGATCAGCGACCGGGCCGGGGAGCACGTGAGGGAGGTGAGGCGCGTGGCGGAGCACATCGTGCACCCCGACTTCTACCGGTCGGGCGGCGCGCACTCGGACATCGCGCTGCTGCGCCTGGGGGAGCGCGTGCGCTTCACCCCCCACGTCCGGCCCGCGTGCCTGTACACGGGGGACGACGCGCACCTCCAGGAGGCCGTCGTCACTGGCTGGGGGTACCAGCAGTACGGTAAGCGGCCCAGCTCACTACCATACCTCCGAGAAGGACAACACGTTGTTCCTCTCATGTGTCGTGATGTCATTTTCAGACTCGGGCGAAGGAGTGGCCGCTCAGAGCAAGGTGACCAGCGATGCTCTGCAGAAGGCGGCGGTGAACGTCACGAAGTGCCCGGAGGAGCTGGGCACCGATATCCCCCACGAGAAGCACATCTGCGCGCTCGGCAAGAAGGACAGTCAGGAGGCGTTCTCCGACGCCTGCCAGGTGAGTGTTCGTCCGAGTGTACGGGTGCATACGAAGGCCAACTGACGTCATCAACACCATTCGTCCCATGCACACAAATCTAGTTGCCTCTAATAGCTTGCGCTGACAACATTTAGCTGAACGAAAAACAATCGCCTTTAGCATTTTGCAATTCTTCTGCATCTTCCCAACCATTTCATCCAACGCGCCTGCGTCTTGCGTTCACTGTTTGTGTTTGACGCGCGCCTCTGCGCCGTGCGCAGGGCGACTCCGGGGGCCCGCTGCAGGTGATGACGGCCGGCGGCCCCGGCAGGTGCTCCTACCGCGTGGTGGCCGTCGTGTCCAGGGGCCGCGGCTGCGGCACGAACCTCCCGGGCCTCTACACCAGCGTGTCCAAGTTCGCCGACTGGATCCAGAGCTGGGTGTGGCCGTGCGAGAAGTGACCCAGCCCAGACGTGACCACGAGACAACCCCCCTCCCCCCTTACCCTCGTAAAACCACCCCTATTTGTAATACCAATTTTTCATCAAAAAACTAGAAAGCTAACCAAACTACCAATTCTACTTTTTTGTAATTACGCATTCTTTGACATTATAAAACACATGAAGTGTGAAGACTATTTTGCCAATATAATGATTGTTAGTTTTATTGATTTATTATTGAGCATCACGAAGACGGAGGGAATGGGTCAGGAAATAAGAACAAAATGATACATACGGAAATGAAAGTAAAGTAAAGCTTGCGGGTCCCGCACCGCCGTAACCAGTGGCGTGGCCGCTGCTCCTTTTGCCCGATTTTGGCGCGCGGCGCGGCGTGGCCCGCGTGCCGGCTGCGGGTGCACGGCATATCGACGGGGCGGGCGGCGTGTCGCGGAGATACGGGGCGCTCTGCACTGCCCTGCAGCCAGCGGCCGGCCTGGACATAAACGAGCGTCTAGTTGTGCAACGCGTAAAACGTGCCCGGCCGGCCGGCCCTCTCCGTGTACACCGGGTGTACACCCGCCCTCTGTGTGTGTGTGTATGTGTGTGTGCGTGAGCGCTCCGGGGACGCGCTGGGCGCATCCTGCGGCCGCGGAGCCCGCCACGCCGCCCCACGCCACGCCCCGCCCCGCCCCGGCGGCGGTGCAAATGCGTGACCGACTGACCCTGTTCGCCAAGCATCCCTAGCGCCGCCGCGGCGTGTGTGGTTAGTTAGTGTGTAGTCTGCTATCAACCTCCTCTCCCTAACCAGTGGCGGGCTGTGCTGCCTCTCGCTCCCTCGCCGGCTCGCCTCGCCTCATAGAGTCGCGGGGCGGGGCGGGGCCGGGCTGGCTCATTACATGCTTTAGCAGCGCTGAGGTGAGCAGCCCGAGTGCTCAGTAGTGTGTGATAATGCCACACTATACGCTCGGGGCCGGGAGCACGGCCGTTTGGTTTTCTCCGAACCGAATGAACGCGCCGCGCCGGCGTCGATACGTATCGTGTTGTGCGCATTGGATTATTTTCAGTTTATCGTCCAGAAACAAACACACGCCACCGTCTGAGGAGTGACGCCAGTGGGACTGGAGAAGCTGCGCTACTGCTGCGCCTTCAAAAGTCGTGATTCACTGGAGACGATTTATTGGGCGGCTTGAGGGTGGCTGTTCTACTGGGGGAAGTCCCTCTTCGGTGTCACCTTCATCGTTATCATCGTAATCGTTTTGTTTGTCGCGCGCCAACATATCATCCTCTGTGTCGTCGTCCTTATCCCAATTTTCTCCTCATCCCCTGTATTTCCTCCTCATTCTCGCCCGGGTGCAGCTGCTGCTGCTGCTGCTGCTCCCTGTATTTCCTCCTCATTCTCGCCCGGGTGCAGCTCGGTGCGACTCGGAAGGCACATAGCCACACCCACCCGCACACACACGCGTCACTCTCCGGCCGACCGCAGCGCGAGCGGCACCGGATCAGCTGCTTGGATTACCGACGTAATCCAGGCGTACTTTTGCGCGTCTCAAGGCAAAGAGTGAGGTTAGGGTCGGCCGCATCGGGTTGCACCGACCGACCGACACGCGCCACTCCGGCAAAACGGCAAAAAAGGGGAAAATAACCAAACAGGTACGGAATAAAATGCGCGTAACTCCAAACAATGCAAGGACTTGTTGCGTGCTACGATAATAACGCTCGCGGCAGGAGTGTGCATTGCGGCGGGGGGCGACAGTGAGGGCGAGGTGAGTTAGTGGGGCGCGGCGGGGCGGGCGAGAGCGGCGGCGCCCCCTGCAGCCTCAGCCTCCTCCGGAAATGAGCAAAGAAGGGCAAAGGAAGGGCCGGGCCAGTGAGCCATGCAGCCCAGCACCGCCACCGGCGCTTGCGGCGGTGGCGGCGGCGGCCTGTTCCTGGCCTGGCCCTACATGTGGAAGTATGGAAATGGCGCCAGCACGTAATGGCTGGTCCTCTTTCTGCACGCCGTGTCCGCCACCGCGCCTGGCCAGGCAATGGGGCCCTCCTTTTTCGCCTTTGCGGTGTACTAGCTACCGAGTTACACTGACTTTGTTACCAAATAATAAGATTATCGTCTCGACACGTAAGTCACGTGGTGTGGTGGCGGTGCAACAGACAGGTGAGCCGCAATCATGAGCACCCCTCCCTCTCCTCCTCCTTCTCCTCCGCCCCCCTCCTCCATTAAATGCTCTGCCCACTCGATGACATAAAATTGTTGAACCTAATTGCCTTCTTCTCCTCTCTCGGCCTCCCGTCAGACGGGTTTCAGGGGATGTATAAAATTAAAGAAAAAGACCAGTCGCCTCGTCGGTACGGCACGGCCGTACGCACGCACCACACCTCCTCCCCCGTGTCGGTCGCTACCCCCCGCGCGCTCTCGCAGGTGACTACGCGCTCGCGGGGTCGTGACATTTTATAACTCCACGTCGGGATAGTGTGGCGGGGCGGGGTGTGGCGGGGCGAGGCGGCTCGGCGGGGCGGGGCGGGGCGAGGCGGCTCGGTCCTGCGCGGTCCGCGCTATGCTGTGTGTGCCGTAATAAAGCAGTGATGAGGGGCGCGCGGTAAAACGGTTAAAGGTCTTCCCTCTCTTGCGCGCCCCTTTAGAACTCTCGCACCTTTAGGCGGGGCGGGGCGCGGCGGGGTGAGGCGTGGCGGAGCGTCCATCGCGTGGACGCCTGCGCGCGCGGTTAGTCCGCGGTGCCGTCGCCGGCCCTGGCTGCCTCTGGCCGCACGCCAAGCGAGCTAAAGTTGGCCGGCCCGCTGGTCGGTCCGTCGGTTGGGCGCACCCAATTCGGCGCCCACTAGCTCTGAAGCACCGCTGCCGCTGGTAGAAGTCGCCGCGCGCCCATTAAACTCGAACGAAAATGTTGAAGAAAAAATAAATAAAAATAATAAGATTAAACTAAAAAACTAGGCTTGCAGAGCAGTCCAACTTGATTCCGAGCGCGACCGCGTGTTTGCATTTCGAAACGCAGCGGAGTGTGAGTGTGGTTTGAAATGCGCGCGCCGCGTGTAGCCCCGCTTGCGCTGACAACATTTAGCTGAACGAAAAACAATCGCCTTTAGCATTTTGCAATTCTTCTGCATCTTCCCAACCATTTCATCCAACGCGCCTGCGTCTTGCGTTCACTGTTTGTCTTTGACGCGCACCTCTCCGCCGTGCGCAGGGCGACTCCGGGGGCCCGCTACAGGTGATGACGGCCGGCGGCCCCGGCAGGTGCTCCTACCGCGTGGTGGCCGTCGTGTCCAGAGGCCGCGGCTGCGGCACGAACCTCCCGGGCCTCTACACCAGCGTGTCCAAGTTCGCCGACTGGATCCAGAGCTGGGTGTGGCCGTGCGAGAAGTG